TTATTTTCAACAACAGACCAAAATAAATCTGTAATGCAGTGGAAAACCGGTATGCTTTTGAAAAAATTTATTTTGAAGGAAAAGCGTATTAATGTACAACATTAGAGAAGCTTAAGCATCGATTGTTTTGCATATCCAATGCAATTGCTAATTCATTGTTATTTGAAATTATCTGAAAAAGAAGGAACAGGTGATGTTTTATTTATAAGGAATGTGTATTTAACCAAAAGTTAACTGACACTCAAACACACATTGTCAACACTTCAACAGTTTCCCATGTAAGTAAAACAGTAAGGTGTTTGAAAAAATGTTTATTGAAATCTAGGTAGAACATCAAAACAATTGCACGGACTATTCCCTTAAGCCATGTTTGTTCGGCTATTGAGAATTGAGGTAGTCTTCCTGTGAATTCTGAATTAAAAAAAAGGAAAAAAGTCACAACCATATCTCAATGACTGGCTTTGGCACAGCCAAATACTTGAAGCTGAAATTACGGTTATGTTTGTTAATGTTGTTGACTGCAACCATAAAGCCGTAGGGAGGTTATCACTTTAAATTAGTACATACCTGATTTTCTTTTCTTCTATTACGCTTTATCATCTTGTCTCGGATATCGTGAAAGTAACCTTGTGTCGCGATGTCACAAAGATTACCAAGGTCTTTTTCGTTGACAGAGGATGACAGAAAGCGATGAGTTAAGGCACCTGAAGTTTAAGTAATAGATATAGGTTACTTCGTATGCAGCCGTAAAATAACATAAGACCTAATTAAATCATTTGTCGTCATTTATTAAACACTAGTGAAACAAAATGCATTTACAGTCAAGTATGCAGCAATGGGATTAGAACTAGATAATTCCTACAATTGATGGCCACACATTTACAATTTATGTCCTTAACCGAGATCCATGTGTGTTCATGGCTAACTACGGAGCACCTAAAAATTCCAATATCAGTAGATGGAAAAGGGGCAATGATTCGTCCTAGTATAGGCCATAACTGTTGATTGGAGCTTCTAGACATAGGAAGTCCATCTATATTGACATACAAATTTAAAGAGTCGAAATCAATAGTACACAACCAAAGCTCAACGTATCTTAGCAGATTGGTTCTCAATCCTAGATGGTAGTAAACACCACTGCCGATGAATTTTGGTTGAACACTTGGACAAGTCTTCAGAACACCTCTGATGCTATTCGGTATGTCCAGGATAAGACATCGTAGACCGTACAGAACCCGATCAACATCTCTTATGCTCAGAGATGTATTTGACATTATATACATCATAAAGTCGTTCATCAGTTCTTTGCGATCCACGATTTTTTGAGAGCACAAGTTCACTTCACTACATCCTATAAGAACTATATTCACGTATGAATTAAATGTACATACCACTATTATCTGAAAGCCTCTGATTGATGTTGCTAGAGGACGGTGCAATAGTTGAGGTACTTTCATTACAACTGATTTCTCTATTTACTTCTGTCAATTTAATAAACAACATTGTTGAACTCAGTTACCTTTTACGGTGCTTTCATTATCAAACTCACTGAACGAAAGAAAGTCGTATTTTTTCATGAAAGCAGCTCTCATTTTATTCCACCTTCTGTTATAAGTGGATCTATGACAGCCAAGGGAACGTGACAAGTTCACAGTGGCAATACGTCTACGAACATTCTCACTGACTTCAATAGAACTCATAGTATTGGCTTTACAAGGTAATCAGTTACAATGAACATGAAAATCTGAGAGCACATCACTCACCTGCATCACGTAAGTTTTTTGTGATGGCTCCAAAGCATGTCGGAACACTTTAGCTAAACAACAAACGAAGTCAGTCTATATGCGTATCAACCGAATGCCTGGTTCCGTATTTTGTACCATGTTTTTATGACAATACTTTTGTTTTTTTATTAAGCGGTACCTTAATTTGTCAAAGTTTATGAAAACTTCAGTTCTGGATGAGGTTCATTCAAACACTGTACGTTACGTAGAAATGTCGACAAATTTCCCCCAAATACACGACGTAAGGGGGAAAAAGCGACATTTCCCCTAAATAACCCACGTAAAGTCGAAAAGGCGACATTTCCCCTTTTTGTGTTGCTTGGGTTTATTTCTATTCCCTTATTTTCTCCATTTCCTTCTTTAAACCGAATTTAATATTCTTCTCAGTTACACAGACCCGATTTATTATTATTAATATTCTACTATTATTACTCTAAATTTTTTTAAATATTGCAAGTATAATGTTAACATTACTGAAAATGGTGTATTAGTGCATTTTTTGAAGAAAACCGAAATGGTTTCTTCACAACACTTATGTACCCATAAGATGTTTGTGAATAATAATACTAGTAATAATAACATCAATTCTCCTGTTGTAAATTCAGATAAAGTACCAATTGGATTTGATGGAGTTTTGTACTCTGAGCTGGATGGTCTGGTCGTGGAGCTTTCATCGTTTTTCTGAACGACATCATCAGCACAAAATTCAGGTAGAAGTGAAGTGTTCGAATTTCTCCATATGCGTTTCACAGCTTGTTCTGTACACCTCGACGTTGATTGGTTCTTACTGACCTTAAATTTGTCATTGTTTACTTCTTATTTTGGTTGTGTCTCCCAACGGTTTGATTTTCGTCCCCATATTTGTGCATCATTTTCCTGATTGGTTGATAAATTGGATAGATTTCAGTGCGCTTGTTGATTGCTGAGTGACCTGAGTGCTAGGCTTCTAAAAATTCTCTAGTGTTTTTGGAATTTCCTCTGTTCAAGATTTCCACATTTTCTTAATCGAATGAGTGTCCGCAGTTGTCACGTGTATTGATATAAGTGAGGAAGTATCATGGCGTTTGACTGCTAATTGATGTTCATGTAAGCGAAGGTGAAGGGGGCGTCCGCTTCCGTAAAACTCATCACGAAACATATTCTCGCCAAAATAACTTTGTCCATAATTAACCGAAATTTTTAGACGCATTTTTGAGACGGTTTGAATGTTTTATAAAGCATAAAATCAAGTGAACTACTTTTATCAACATAGTTTGTATGAAAGTCATTCAGATTATGAAATAACTTCCACTTCAGATCGAGCCCTTTGAAATCTCAGTTCCATCTGTACTCACTTCTATGTTAAACGAGCTAAAGGTCAAAACTCACTACTAATAGATAATCCACATTCTAATTTCACCTCAGCAATACTATTGCTATCCTCAAAGCAAACAAACATCTAACTGTTTATAAATATCACTTGCATTAGACAGGATGTTTTTTTCAGAAGCATATTTAAATGATCATATTCATGATTATGTGGTGGTACTGAATCATAAACCCACAATCTTTGAAGTTGAACACGTAATTACTGAGAACATTCACTTTCAGACGTTTAACAATGAGAGAAGACCAACGTGGGAGTATTCATTCAGTCGATTGGCATGGCTCAGCATCGCAGATGTATAACTTGTCTTCATTCACATTAAATACATCAGTTTATCTTTATCCCAAATATGGTCTTTAAAGCGCTAGACGTTAGATTACTGATTCTTACTGTACTTCAAATTCTTTCGCTGAGATTCTACAAATACATTCCTCTTTAATATTTCGCCAACAACAACTGCAAAATACCAGGATTTACTAGCAGAATTTACAAATCTAACCAAGCCGAATCTTCATCTTTTCAAAAGTAAATTAAAGATAAGTTAAACAATTGTAACTGAAGGCGCACTTTTGTTTGCTGGGTCTTGAAGACTAACATTAGATGCGCCTAAAATCGCTCTAGGTGAATTCAGCTACATGCTACAGCCAGGTATTATCCGTTCGTCTAATAGCTGTTGGGCATCTCCTTTACTTATAGTCCCAAGGAAAAAATGAAAGTGGTTGACAACTGTGCTGAAATGACAGATCTTTCAACCACCAAACAATACCAGTTAAGTACACAATACATCACCTTCCGAGATTTAAAAATAAAAACGTATTCTCTAGTAGCCTGGTTTCTTTTACCGGTAGACCGAGGGGACTCACAAGCACGAAACTCGAAAAAGCCCACATTATTTTGACACGGATCATCTGTGCTGGCAATCCGCAGACTCACTGGCACCTGGAGAATATATCTCTGAATTCGCTTCCAATCATTTCTAGGCGGTAGTGACATTCAGATTCGTTAAGTTTACCAAGGCTTTTTTACATTCGAAAATCAACTGACCAATTCTTCGCCTTCCAATGAAGTATCAGAAACGCTATGCAGGAGGGTGTGAGTTATCGAAAGTTTCATTGGAAACATACGGTTTAACCGGAATAATATTCAAAAACATCTTCAATGAGCTCCGATTTCAAACTAACATCCCTACATAGTTATTAATACCATCGCTAACACTGAATGATGTTGAATCTAGCAGTTCTCAACGTCACACTCTAAACATGAGTTACACAATCTAGATATATGACCCTTTCTAAAATAAAGATAAGACAGGTTTTGTCTTCTTTCTTCCCATCTCTTAACCGTAACGTTCATTTTCAATAGCTCCATAGGATCTATCACTTTGTGAACACTGACATAACTCGTAAGTTACAAACTTGGTGGAGTCTGGAAAATCGCTTTAGGGGAAGATCAAAGATGAATTCACACTGATGCATAATACTTTACAATCCGAATAACATAATGATTGAGTAACTCCTTATATTTACATAAATGAGATCTTTGTATGCTGCTGTCAATTTAAAGGTACTGAGTGTTCAAAAATGACCCACTGGGGTTAACTGTGAAGATTCTATGGTGTGCACCCCGATTAACTGGCTGGGATTGTTAGGGGATTTACTTTAAAGTCAATTACAACCAACTTATTAATTTGGACGACACAAACCTATAACAAACGATCTTTTATGCAGCATTCACTGACACTGTTCTCGTTCAGACGAAATGACGTAGAACACAGGTTAATAATTAAATTTACAGTTAGTGGATAACTCTAAGCATGTTGGTTTTACGAATTTATTTATTGTATATTGAATCTGTCTTGTATCTCCTTCTTGAAGTGGCGCGTTCTACACATTAGTGTCGGATTTAGGTTTTTTGTTGGTTGTGGTCAAATCTCGGTATGTAATCTAGTAATAAATATGACTGGACGACTAGTTTTTTCATACATATTTGTTACTTTTCTTTTGCTCACGGAAGATACTTTACAGCAAATTTGCGAGTGCAATAGGGCGCATATATATATATATATATATATATATATATATATATATATATCAGCATTCCGGTTGCGTGGTTCCGAAAATTCTCTTTTGATTATTGTGTTTTAAGGTTTAGGGTTTCTGTTGTTTTCTCGAGTGATAAGTAGGTTAACGTGGAGTTGGTTTCGTTTCTTTAGTCGTTGGCGTGGTACTGGGAGACCTTTAGTCGCGGTTGTTTGTCTGAAAGTCCAAACAACTAGACTACGCTCTTAATTTTAACCGACAATTAGGTTGTATACGCTTAATTATTTTCGCTTGATGAGACTACGATTTATATGCGACCTTCGGGCGACGCTAAAATAACTATAGAATATCCACAAACTCACTATGGTTAAATAAGGGTTATTGGTTAGTGTGAAGAATTAGTTAGGGTTACAGTTGAACATTAGGATTGGGAATTAGATTTATTGTTTTCATCTCGAACTGACAATCTATAATGTCAAAATAATATCGAACCAAATGAATAGATCGAATTCGCGCGAAGATTGAAGGTCTGATATCAAATTTAATTAGTCTAGCCATAAATTATAGTCTCACTCATGTGTGGAAATTCCACATTATTTCTGTCATTCAGAGTAAGGTAAATCAACTGATTTCTTTGTACTTGCTTCTTGCTTTGGTACAGTTCCTAGAATTTAATTAAGTAAAATGGATGGTATTCTAGTCACTTGACCAATAATTCTAGTCATTGTGGTATTCATTTGTGGCTTTGTTTATTTTGTAGCTAAGTGCCTTTGTCTCAGGGCTGTAGGGTTTCCGGATGCCAGCAACTATCAAGTTACCAGTCAGGAGGTTGGTTGGTTGCAATAAGAGTGACAATTCGAGTATTGAGAGGAGACAATTATTTCACGAATAAATAAACACTTTAATTAAATGATGTGTAAGAAAATGAGACTGAAAATATAAAAGTAGTAGTTACGAGTTATGCGATCATGATAACCGTGGTAATTTATAAGACATGTGTCAGACACTGCTGGTTCAAGAGGGAGATGGTGATCCATGGGTGAGCAGGCTTTTGTCAAATCTCCCGGAGCTATCCAATGAGGGGGCTGTGTTCACTTATTTATTTGAACACGAATATTGGTACAAGGGGGCACCAGATAAATATGGGCCACACAAGTTGTGTGAGGGTTGTGATACTGTCCGGGTGCGCAAACCAAAGCAGGTGGTTTTCTTAGGGGGCCACGTCCGCAACCTTTGACATAAAAGTCTGATCCACAAGGCAGTGGAGCAATGTATGGAGATGCGATCCCATGGTAGCCGGTAACCAACGATTGGTTCATATGCCATTTGTTCCCTCAGGATTCTGGATTCATGTGCACTATTGTATTGGAATCAAGGTTTTCCAACTCCCCTAGGTGGACTCTCCGTGTCCACCAACCTGGATAAAGCGCCAGAGCTTCGCTTTTCGTCCTCTAATCTCGTAGACAACACCCTCGGCGAGAGAAGGCAGTGAGTAGGACTTCCATGGCGGTGGTTCCATGTACATGGCCATGTGAGAGCATTTCGAAAGGGAAAGCGGACTCTCCCCACTTTTGGCCATACCAGGGCATTTGGGGGCTGTGTTCACATAGGCTGGGAGAGCATTCAAAATTTGGGAAAATTGTAACTTGGGTAAAGTGAAAACGTAACTAAGCGTTTGCCTTTTGATTTGCAATCTTGCGAAGGTTGTCTGGAGAACCGTGGTGATGATGTCCTGGTAATATCTTTGCGTTGGGTGGTCTCGTTTACTTCATATGTATTTCACTATAAGATTACCTCTTATCTCCCTGTAGCCCAGCGAGAATAATCTCAGGTGTTAGTCTGTCGTACGATATATGTTTTAACCCTACCACAAACGTAACTTTCCATCTTTGTCCTTCGTTCAAGAGATTTGCGTCTCGAAGAACTGGGGCACTACTACATCGTGGACTTCTAGTTGAGGCGCTGCGTACGTCTTGAAGTGTTGGTAACAACTCTGGGATAATTGCGCCAAGTTCTTCACACATGAAGTTTGTTTATTTTTTGAACATGTATACCCTGGTTCGAGGGGACACCAAGTACGTTGCTCCCAACAATAACAAAGAGGTCACAAAAAAAAATACAGAATGTAAAGTGCATACAATGATAAAGAAGGACAACAACCAACATAAATTACTGTATGAGTGAAATAACAATAATAATGAGAAAATCAGTGCAGTTAGGAAAAATACAAAAAGAAAAAAATTTTCAGTTAGAGAAGTTCACTTTTATGAAGAACGTAAAATAAAGTTACATCAAGGTCGCCACTGGCTTTTATACTTAGCTATGTCTGATAACATTTCTAGCCAGTGTTGCTCCATCTCTAGGGCACCAACCAAGGAGTTTTGAAAGTTCAACAGAAGCCAGTCCTTTACAGCTTTCTGTGGGTCGATACGTTTGACTACTTCACTACCTGTCCTTAGTTCATGTGATGACGCAGGCCAGTCCTGAAGAAAGCACTTGCATTTAAAGGAGGAGAAGCGCATCCCAAACATCCTGGCATTGTTGCTCAGTACTACCAAAATACTGAATTTTATCAGCGTCTTCAACAAACAGGACTATATCACCATTATCTGTTCGCTGAACCGGAATACTAAAATACCCACCTAAATGTCTTTATGTTTCGTTTAAGCTACCTACCTGGGCATGAAAGTCACCTGCTACGTGTACTATGTCTGAACGTTTAGCTTTCTGAAGAAGTTCAGATAGCTTTCTGTAAAATTGATCTTTCACTTCAATCCGAGCTGCAGTCAGTGGGAGCGTAGGCAGAAACGACAAAAAGGCAACGACGTGTGTCCCTATCCTTCCGAGTTCTTACGGAGCTGTTTAGTCGAACAGTACATAGACGACCGTTAACGGGGATCCACTCTAATAGTGCTTGTTCTGCCCGCGTACTTGGTGCTATGCCTACACCTGCCAGTCCACGAGAACTAGCCAACGGGTCGCCAGACACATGGAGGGTGTATCTCGTTGGCTCTCCGTGTTGCCAAGGTGAGGTCAAATGAATGATCACACTAGGATCCTGTTTGCGTGTTACGGAGACACATCAATGTTACGAGATTCTAGGGTTTTAGCCAAGGAAGCCTGTTGACCGATTTGACTTAGGGTGCGTACGTTGAAGGCTCCAATGTATAGTTTGGAGCGACGTTTCAGTAGACCTGGGACAGTGTTTTGTGCACTAGAACCGTTAGCTATGGTGACACTTGAGGGGGAAGCCGAAAAAGGAAGTTTAGAAGTGAAAGTCGATGTAGGAGGAATAATAGAAAGTGAAGACGGAGGTTGATTATGAATACAGTGGTCTTGAGTGCTGTTAGAGGTATGAGGGCGGTTATCACTTCCCGGTCGCCCACACCGTGGAAGGGTTGTTCTAGAGGTACCTGAAAAAGAAATTGGATTAGAGGTGGTCTTAGTGACCTGGGAGCGTGACCGCAGTGCCCAAGGGACAACTGCTTGAGGTCGGTCACACATGACCTTTTTATGGGCAATTTTTGTGTTAGCTCCGTACTTGTTGAGTAGGGATTTTCTGACAGTTGCTGTATATACATGGCTATGTAGGAGCTTTTCGAGAGGGAGACGGATTATCTCCACCCTCGACCGTAACGGGGCATTCGGGAGCATAATATATAGTGTTGCTTTTGCCTTGGCTTCATCTTCCGTGTAATTTGAACGTTGTTTAGTCTCTGTAGTTACAAGCTCGAGGTCGCTCTCTGAAGAGACAATTGTTAGCGGATTGTTCTTTGCGAAACTCCTGATGTTGAAACCTCCCAACTTGCGTGCACTCTATTTATCTTGTTCCTTAAATAGTTTCAGATCTAGGATAAAAGTGGGCCATTAATACTGCAATGTTTGCTATGAACAGTACATGAAGTATTGTGTCAAAGGCTTTTGCGAAATCAAGGAATGTTGCATTAACTGGTATCCTATGGTCCCATTAGTTCGTCCAGATTTCCCATACTATGAGGAGATTGGTTGCATATGATCTACCTTTCTTGAACTCGTTTCGAGCTTCGTGAAGGATGTTGTTTTTATCCGTATATTCCCTCATTTGTTCATTCACCAGTCCTTCGAGAGTATCGGGATTGATGCAATCGGTCGGTAACTAAATTTTTTCTGTCCCCCCTTCTAAGATTGTAGTAAGAGTGGCCTGCTTCCATTCTCTTGGGAGTTGGTGCGAATATAGTGAGTGCATGAACAGGTCTCACACCATTGTGTTAATGTCTTATGTTCACTGTTTCAGGATTATAGGTAGATGCGGAGACTTAATGGTCGTGAGGTGTTACTGACGGGATAGCCTAAAGACGCTAATAATCGTAGTGCTGTGAAGGTCCATGCTGCATGATAGCCAACGCCACTGTTGCATATCGTGTTTGTGGGCTAAAGTGGTACTCTTTTCCATCATTGTACATTATTTGTCCCACTCATTTTTATCAAAGGTTGTCCTACCGTCGAATAAGCTACTCTCTGACACTGGGACACTAAACAGAATCAGAAGATTTTGTCTAGCATCTTTGTCCCCTCCCTCTTTTGTTAGTTCAGTTGGTGTGTTTTCTGTACAATTGAGAAAATGTACCAGAACCACGAACAGAGATGACTTAGTGCAAATTCATAGTACTGCCTAGGTACTGCTGTATCGCAGTGAAAGTGAACCCATCCACTTCAAAACTTACATTCAAATGACAAGTCACTGGTTTTTACGGGTGACGAGCATGCGATTCAATTATCGTTTTTGTGCTGTTTTTCTCCAATAGTAGGCAATGCGAGCAATTTAGGACGACCTGTTTCTGTTTTGCATGCTAGTCTTACTAGGAGTAGAGACCTGGGTAGGAGTGTGATCCTGATTACTTAGTGAGAAGTCCAGTTTCGTCGTTTAAGTTGAGTGATCCATGTTAAACACATTTCCCGAAGATTTTTTCTGGTGTCTTCTTGAGCTTTCTTATGATCTTGTTTCTAGAAACGAGGATTTTTGACTTATTAATAACATCTAAATTAAAACCTCTTCCTCTGATAGTCGTCCTTGTAGTTATAATATTAGCAATGGTGAAAACATTATTACTGTGCATGCCATTTAATAGATTAAAAGGTAAAATGTGAGACAATTTAGGGAGGAAGTACTCGAGAAAAAAGTTCCGGAGGAGGAAAATAATAGAGATAAGTGAATATATTCTACGCAAGAATAGAATCTGAGAGACTTAAATTGCCATGTTACTTTTGACCGTTCTAGTAAACAACTTCTCATGGATTCAGTAACTTATCTACAAGTCCTTTGTTTGCAAGCAAATGGATGTGTTTTTGTCTCATTTGAAGCAAATAGGAAGAGGGCTATACCTACCACTCAGTGATTCAGTCTTGGTATGATTATGGTCGAATTTGTTGTTATGGTTGTCTACCAGCCAGACGAAGACTCAGTATGTATACTTAGAAGCGTTTAAATATTCCAATGTAGTATTGGAAGGGTGAATATTTACAGTTATTGGTGGGAAATCACGTCAAACTCGAAAAGCGCGCAGTTATCAAACTGTTAATGCTCAAAAACGCAGAAGATTGCGCTAGTTTTTCACAAAAATTAGAGATAGTTTATTACACGTCATTTGAAAAAAGTCAGTGTATTCTGGTTTAATTACACCTTACATAATTCACTACATTTGTACGAGACATTTGGTGTAAAAATCCATCTTTTATCCACATAATCTCAACGTTAGAGGAAAGTGCCATAAATATGATTAATCTCGAAAAGTTGGTTTAATTCTACAAAATAAATTTCTTCAGTATGGAATTTTGTCTAATTCCCAACGCACTTTTCCAGCAAGCGCATAAGAAAACATTATGAAATACAAATTAGGACATAATTATTCCCTAAATCATTTGGTTATTCCCTAGGTTTCTAATCTGTCTATACGATAGATTCTCAATTTTAGGCTTTTTTTTATTTTCCAGTAGATCCCATAAACTATTTGAGACTATATAGTTTATATTGTGTCGGCACATATCCATGTAACAGTAAAGAATATAATTGGATCTTAGATATTTTGATCTCGCACTTCATTACTCATAACAGATGATCAGTGTTGCATAACATTATTTTCACGTACTCTTTTCAACACTTAAATGCTATGCTATATATCTCTAGAAAAACTGTATTACAACAAAAAGTACAAGTTGTTCAGTTAAAATAAACTATCCAAAGGAACAGAAATTAGTTTCTGACTAAGCAGAGTTGCCCAACCCCACTATTTTTCTCTTTGTCATCAATGGCAGTCTGGAAACGCCTCAGAAGGAAGTACATAATAGAGGTGGTGACGATGATGATGTGAATCTCTTATCTTCATAAAATTTTCTGTCATCGGTATGTGAATGATTTTGTTTTATTGTGCGATGATATTTCAGGCCACGAGAATCGCACTTGATTAGTTGACAATCAGCATCCGTAGGTATGATGTGTACTTTACATCTAAATACAAAGTACTTTCACGAAACTGGGAAAAGCTTGTGCTGGAGCTCATCCTTTGATGATCCGTTAAAAGTAGTCAGAAAGCTTGTGTAGCTTGGTAGTTCTGTGAGTGCTATTGGTATTGTGATTGACGAAATTTAAGAACATATGACTAAAGCCAGAATGGCTTATACCAATCTGGGCCATGTTTGTCGTCATCGCGGGATTATTGTGGTCGGGTCAACAACGTATTGGTGAGAGTGTGCTGCTCTATGCATGCAAAACACAGCCTCATTAAATTGGGGATGTTCGTTTACTCTCTGTATTCGATCATAAATATCTCCGAAGGATTCTTGATATATATTATCAACACTAATTAATGTTAAGCAATTTGAGTTCATGAGCAGTGACAAATACTCGGCGTCATCACGTTGAAGAATCGACTTCGCCTTGTTAGACATGTTTTACAGATGTTATCCCAGTGAATTCTACATCTTGCTTTATTTACTGACACTGCGACTGGGGGAAAAATGCAGAGCATTGGTCCGTTTATGACGGCTCCATGGTTTAAAATAAAGTTGTAAAACAGTTATAAAACTCGCATGTATTGATGGATCACGACTTCTTGGTTGTGGTGCTAGAGATGTGACTCATTGACTTGAAATATGGGCTTGTTCTCATCCATTTGTTTTTGATTATACTCACCCTCCTTGTTACAGATTTTCGAATCAATTGTATTGGCGCCTAGTTGTATCAGCATTTATATTTTAGATAAAATCAGATAGGAATTTGATTAGACCATCTGACTTACAATGTACTGATCCCCTATTTTGTGAAATATACCGGGTGTTACTTAATACATTACTTTCGTGATTTAGTTTCTGTTTTATATTCGTTTTTAGGTATGTTTGTGTAAATGAGATATGAAGTGCTCTTTGTTCTGCCTACATTAGCAAAATAACCACACAATTTGGAGATCAGTTGTTTATTGGATGATTATGTCTGTCTTCGCAAATCATGATGCCATTCATATGAATCATGGAGTCTCAGACGAATCCGTTTTATATACACATTCGTATTTAATTCCTCCACTAAACCAACTGGAAAATGATGTTCTTAAGTCAGATCCAGATATTCTTACATGTGTACAGTCTAATAGGTCTCATTCACCTAGTCAGCAAATATATGATATGCTTGATAGTACAGTTCTTTCTGATAATCGTAAGTTCTGTTTTTAGTTGTTGCGGGTATCCAAATTTTGGTCAATTATTGATTGATCTACTGTATTTCCATTCGATTATACATAACTTTCTTACCGTATTCCTGGATTCATACAATCTAATAAATACTAGCTACATAAATATTCCTTCTTTTAGGATTACTTTAAGGATCACTCAAGTTTTATTAGGACTTGATGGACTTTGAAGATTCGAACTGTTCTTTCAACTGTTAATGCTCACGGTGTTGGTCAATTCGAGACAAAATCTACTGAATAACTGCCTAGTTCTATTTTGCGACGCCTGTTGTGCAGGAGCATTACTTATGGAGATTGGACTTAGCACTTCAGCTATTTAAGAGTCACATTAGACCTTATTGTTTTTATTTGAGTGACTAATTCGTGTTATATTACGCCTTATCGCATTCCGTTGAGCACTGTAAACTTTATCATGAATTAAAGCAAATGTCAAGTGGATGACTGTACTTGGATCCTGTATGCTCGTTTTGAAGACGCAGCATACATCGATGGCACGACATTTTCAGAGTCCTAGCTAAAGAAGCCTGTTGTCCTAATCGATACGAGGTTCGAACATTGAAAGCTCCAACATGTAGTTTACAGCGTAGTTTCAGGAGACCAGGAATAACGTTTCGTCATTTCAAGTCATTAGCATTGGTGGTGCGTAGTGATAATGATACACAAGAGGGGTTAGTTAATTGAATGACATAATTCCAAATGATACAGATGTGTCCATTCTCTGTCTTACCCAAATTCTGAGATTCTAAATTCCTTATAACGTTTTCGTTTTTATTTCATTGATTCATATTTGCTTTTCGAATTATATCTTCGATGCCCAATCTTTTCTATTACCACTGATACCGTTAGTTTCTCTACTATTCTGTGATTTAGTCTGACAATGTCATCTCTGTGTTAATGGGGTATAACAACTTGAACCGATGTACATATGTACAAGGTTTTACGTTGTGACTGATTAGCTGACTAAAGCAAATATCTTTAGACCATTATTTATGGTAGCTGGGTCGATCTTCCATAGATTTAAGTCGTGTTGCTTATGAACCCGTTTGTTTCATCATACAACTCAATTTCAGAGAACTTTATTCAGAGATTTAAATATATTGTGCATCATGTCATTCTTTTATCTTTATTTTTCCTTTTAGCAACCCAAACCATAACTAATTCCTCATGCAAATCTCAAATCTCACTAAAATCTAGTTCTTGCGACACAAGTAACGCCAATTTAAATGTCGATATAAAACCCTCTTTCATTTACACTGACCATCCTCAAATAATTAATCAATCCTTCTTAACAGATCTTCACAATCATACTGATATTCGTACGGTTACTTCGGATACCAACCTTAATCTTTGTCCCATAGCTGATCCAATTAACAGTACTCATCTTCAGGAATTTGTTTATAACACACCTCAAAAATTTCCTCATATGTTACCTCCCGATACTCACCAACACACTGTGTACCCTGATAATGTAGTATCAAAACCATTCACTAGTCTGCTTGCTTCTGGGAGTTCAAACGAAACCTCCACATCTTATTTACCCCAAGTTACAAAAGTTGAGACTAATTCTCTTACTGTTTCTCAGGCGTAAGTTTTTTTCCTGCTAGAGTTTTTTGTATCTGTGTGGGATTTTTTATTCTTATCATAGAATATTGTCATCTGGAACACTTAGTAACACGACTTGTATGCCAAGTACGTTTTTAACCTTTAATATATTGGTTGGAAACTGCTTCTTAGGCAATGAACTACACCTTCACATTTAAAACATACTCATTACACAATTAATCTTAATGGTACGAAGCACAGATCTCACAGCGGTAACATTTAATTCTCTATGTTCTTTCATTCTTTTCATAAGTGGAATATTTGATTTAATGCACTCAATCCCATTATTATGTCATTGTGAATATCAAGTTGATGTCTGCTACCTTGATGTGGCGATTAATTCCTTCCTCGTGATGACCATATGAACTATGTTAGGTGAAACATTCGTTTATTCAAGCCCTATCATGCCAGACAGATCGGTTGGAGAACGGTAACTAAAATCAGCTATCTAAAGTTCGAAGGCGAAGTCGTACTGTTGATTGTACAAGGATGAGACAGGAACTACAGCTATGCTGCATTTTCACGACGGACGGTAGAGAGTAAAGGAGGTTCTACTGTCAAAGTGACATCCCATCCCTGACTCCAAGGCCTTTAAATTACAGAGTTAGCACATCTAAAGCTACTCAACCTCAAGATGTTGTCCTTTCGGCGATGCTGTCATATTTCTGTGAAGTTAAGACAACTGCTAACCCTGTTTCTTTTTCAAAGAGAAATATCCCTCCATACTGTGGAAAATCTGGAAAGTATAACTGTCCTCATTCCTCTAAAACCACTAAAGACCACATTGTTCGCAACCAAATCCATTCTTCAAGTCTGAATATATCTTCCACCCTCATTATCACCATCAGTGCCAACAATCAGAGTTCACAAAATACTGTTCCTGTTCTCCAAAAATCTCACCCTAAATTACATGTTGGAGCTTTGAATATTCAAACCTTATATCATATTGAACAACAGGCTTCCTTAGTTAGGACTCTAGAATTTCGTGTTATCGATGCGTTCTGTCTCCGAAGTGCACATACCCTTTCCTAGCGTAGTCATTCACTCATCTGGCCACTATGGAGAGCCAAAGCCAAACAACCTTCGTGTTATCTGTAGACGCGACAGCAATCCTTCGTGGCTATCAGTCAGTCATCAACAACGTAGAACTTCGTACGTACGTACATCAGTTCGAGTTGCCATACCGCATTAACACAGAGATGTAATTGTCGATTCAAATCCCGTAGTGGTAGAGGTAGCAAAAGTATAAGCAGTGACCGGAAAGATTAGGGTTTGAAGATGTTATTCAATAACTATAATCCAGTGAAATAAATTTGGAAAGAGGAAAAAAGGGACTGGCACACCCAGTGATTGAGACCAGTCAGATTGGATTACGTCCAGACCCCAGATTCTGCCTAAGAGCTCAGTCAATCTCGCTGCTAATGCTGGACCACCATCCTTTGTGGCTGTGGCGGTGCATGTATAGAACTAGGTTTGGATGTAGAATAGGGACTTGACTAGATTCCTATCGACAGTCGCCTACTTTTTGTCCTTCTAAACAGTGTAGTAAGAACTCGGAAACATGTGCAATTGTCTCTTCGTCGTTTCTGTCTATACCCCACTGGCTGCATCTCCGATGGAGCAAAAGATGAGTTTTATAGAAAGCTTTCCATCCTCTTCCAAAAAGTCATAGTTTCAGGCGTAGTAATCGTATCAGTTGAATTTAGTGCCTCAGTTGGTGATAGGCTAAGTCAGATCGAAAAATGCTTAGGTAGTCTTTTGGAGTTCCAGCCCAGCGAACAGATAGCGATGGTTTGTCTCTTGTATTTGGCTTTAGACAATCACTTATTTTTGGAAAGTAGGAACTTTAGGCATAATTAGATACATTTTCTAACCTGGAAATCCCTAACATCACTGTAATGGACACAACCTTTATCTCCATTAGCCACCGTTGGAGAGCCCATTTAGAAAACTGTCGCTCATTTCGGAGCCTATCATCGGACTCTGATTATGCCCTAGTGAGAGCACGCAATTATGTTTTTTTACGGGATGTAGAAAAGTCGCAACGGGAAGACTCCTGAGATATCTATTCGGGGGCACCAGTCTACGAAGTCGTTGACCCTTGGTCTGAGTCATGTTGGTGGATTCAGACTAACTGGTTAGGGTCCACGTGATTATCATAACCAATGTTTAGAAACTTTGTTTGGTATGGCTCAAAATTGTTCACAACGGTGCAGATCCATTCACTCTTTATCATCCTCAAGATATTGAGTTTCAATACTTTTCCATACATACCCTTCCACTGTCTATTCGAAATTTATTCTCAATGCTCGCTTGCTCCTTTTGTCATTGGTACTACATTATTTCGACCTCTATTGCTACTCATCTTTTCGTGCTAATGGGACATGACAAGTTGGCTCTATGTTGTTGATGACTTACTAATTAAATTGATGTGAAAAGTAATCACGATTTTTAATTAAAAAGTCGTGAATAGAATGTTCTTGACATAAAGAAACGTGCTAAGGTTTAAGCTTTTCTAAATTATTCTTTAAAACACCGAGATTCGCTTGTGAAGTGATCGTTAACAAGATGGTGTTTACTATAAGCGTTAAGATTTAAGTATGTGAGGTGATTAGGTTTTGCAGCTTGAAAACTGAATCTGCTTGGGTAAACAGGAATTATATTGCATATTTCTGGTCTAATTCAACCTCTAATTCTTATATATAGTTATTGTATAAATTTGTACTGTTATCTAAATTCAAACTAATGAAATTAATCTAATTGATGAACTAAATACAATTTGTTGTGGTCACGTGAATATCAAGTATTCAGTCAGTTAGTTATAGTCAACATAAGATCTGAGATATATATTCATTACCTCAAGTTACTACACTTTATCGACAGTGGGATGAAATTGAAACTACGAATAACAAAATCGTTGAAAAAATGGTAAGATTAAACGTATGTAGGATCACTATCTCCTGCAAAATTGTGTCAAAGTGAAATACGCAAACCCTGTACTTAGTAAAGTAATTACACTAAAAACAATATCTACATCCTTTTACTGAAATCACGAACCGATCAATGTTAGACAACTATCGAAAACCTAGAAGCACTAGATGACTGCTTCGCTATAATATTGAACTCCTCAGCAGTGAGCGCTCGCAACCCCACATGCGGGAACCAAACCCAGGGTCTCACGATCGTTTAACCCATAAACCATCAAACTGGTATCCAGCAGTGCACAAGTCTAAGTTCAATCAATCTATGACATTGCACGACCATCCTTCATTGTCGTCGGTGGGTATCTGTCTCGCACCTATCACGGTTCAGCTCCACTGGTCATGGTTTCTCACCAGAACTGCGGAAATTTTGTCTCGTAGCTAGTCGCTATTGAGCACACGATAATTGTCAGTATGGTGTCGTGGTGATTGTTGAATTTCATTCAAGCCATGGATAAACACTCCTGAGGTTTCTCATACCATCACGAAACGGTCGTCCAGTACTTCCATGCCTTCAATGTTGGTCTAACGTTGGTTTATGATTTCAACAAAATTCAACAATCTCTACAACCCTATACTGACATACACATTCTTTGTCTCGCTCCCCATATATATAAATCTATTTAACTATGATGTTACTTTTATTGTGTTTTTGATAAAATGAATCAGCGGTGTATAGTTTTGGCTTCTACTATATATCAGGCGGTTTAGTTTTACATTCAACCTAGTTAGTATTCTTTGTTATCTATACACCTATTTGACCGACAAACACCAATATAGTTTGCAGAAAAGTATTGTCACGACCAATTTTTAAGGGTCATCGCAACGTATTAACTCAATCTACTTGTCAACCTGTTAGTCATTGGTAAAACGTGCTACCTGCAGTTTTATTAAGTATGTTTAGGTGATGTTTTTTATACTTCGAATCAAGAGAAGAGCTAAAAATTCAGTTGTAGCTAATAACATCAGCCTATATTTTTTACATTTTATTAATCAAAGTTGACTACATGTAATTGTTATTTGGAATTTTTCAAAATGAAGTATAAATTCATTGTATATAAAGCATTTTAACACAATCCTGTTTAAAGAGGGATATAAAACCTTTCATCTATTAAAGTCAAAATAAATTTTGTTGTTAGACAATATACGTTCTATACCTAAAATTTTCGACCCATTTTCTCAAGATGTCTTATGCAATCAGTTATCATTTTTAAAAATTTATTGTATTATTCTTCGAAAAATTGGAAGCATTGACAACGTATTTAGATAATCCACAAGCTTATAAATGGATGACATAAGTGGAAATAAAGTTTGTAGAAGTCCGATTGCTACACATACTCTTCAAATCCACTTCTAATTTAAACGAAAATGTGATAATTCACTAGTTTATTCACTTATTGTGCTATATTCTATGATATATGATCAACAAAATCAATTCAACTGAATAACTGACCAGCTATTTTCTAAGAGATTTTCACCGTTAACTTCTTCCCGATTCGTAGCTAATACTTCTAAATCGACTTTAACATAGTAGTAAATTAAAACCAACTAGCTAGTCAATTCTTAAACTATCAGTATAGGGTTATAAAGATTGTTGAGTTTCAATCGGTCTCATGAATAAATGAATGTTAGATCACCATTGAAAACCTGGAAGCACTAGACGGCCAGTTCGTTCTAGTATGGGACTCCTCAGCAGTGCACATTCACAATCCCACAAGTGGGTACTCGAATCCAGGATGAACGCCTAACATCTAGTCCACTGAGCCGGCATCCAACGGTGTTAATGTTTAACTCCAATCGATTCATAATCTTGCACAACTATTCACCAATTGTTGGAGGTAGATACCTGTCTCTACTCCAGAAAACTCTTGAAACCAGTCACTAGTGAGCACATGAAAATTATTAGCACAGTGTTGTGGAGATTGTTGCCTTTCAATTGATATCATGAATGGATGAATGTTAGACTACCATTAAACTGTTATTAATTTGATTTCACTTCAGATTAATCAAGTCTCTGAAACCATAAGTCTTCAATTATAATCAATTTTGTGTTTTGCTTGAAGTCTTACTTTAAAGATGAGTTGATATAATGATATTTATTGAAATGACGTCATCATATTTAACTTATGAACTTATTGTTTAGCAAACAAAGCGAAATTAACTTAGTTATGTCATCTTATTGAAAGGATTATAATGTTTATTATGTAACAATAAGTGAACAATAGTTCACTTTATTTCTTTTCAGATGTACGATAATGATTCATTGAAAACAATCTTAGGTTTCTCTTTTGTACTAGAACTTATTATCATGGTGTATTCAAAGCTTCTTTAAGCAAGTTTGCACCATATGAAACTAGCTCTAATTAGTTATCCCTTCAGTGTAATGTGTTTTCGAAACATCTCAACAATAGTATCACTGGTTACTGCTCTGAAGGTTACAGGTTCAGGGTAAATAGAGCAAAATTCAGTTCCCCAGAGGTTATGAACACATCTCACTGATATCTTTCAGTAGCTGCAAAATCCATGGCAAAAGCATTTTCAACACTAGACACTTCAAAGTCAAATCATTAACGATATTAATCATATTGCAAAACTTGTTCAGTAAACTTCCGCTATTCGTGAGGACTGTGGCATTACTTATATTGTTTTCAAGCAACCGATTCCCGTAAATGATGTTTTGATCACTATTCTCATGCATTTTGTTCTATTTTAGTCCAAAGTTGTTGTTTGTCGATCCTAACAAGACAAAACCTGAGAGTAGAGAATGTTTCCTTGAACAAATTCCTTCCGAATTGGCTAGCCAGTCTTCATCAGCTACTTCTGTAAATACAACTAATTTGAATCCAATTTGTGTAATTTGTGGTGATAAAGCCAGTGGCAAACATTATGGTGTAATTTCATGCGAAGGATGTAAGGGGTTTTTTAAACGAACAGTGCGTAAACAATTAGTATATGTTTGTCGGGAATCAGGTCAATGTCCTGTAGACAGACGGAAGCGTACACGTTGTCAGCATTGCCGCTTTGAGCAGTGCTTAGCAAAGGGAATGAAGAAGGAAGGTAAGTCATGATGTTAAGCATTTGGCGTTTTGTGTAACTGAATTTACTTTGTAAGCGATCTTTCTTCGATATTGAAAACCATTAACTAAGTTCTTATTGAAAACTTGTCTTAGTTTAGATATTAACATAGTAGAGTAAAATAAACAGATTTTCAGAGAAAAATAATCACATTGCCACTGATAGCAAATTCAAAAATACCAGCTCCTTAGGTTTTGGTCATCCAACGGAACTTTAATGTAAACTTTTCTGTAACCTACAGACTAGTCAAATTTTCTATTTATAAATACAGTAAACTACATTAAGTAACTGAATATTTGTATATTTTATTGTATTTATTATTATTATTTATTTTAACACATAGATATTGGTCCAAGGAGGCACCAAATACATATGCGCCACACAAATCTCATTCGATGTGTGAGGGCTGTGATACTGCTCGGGTGCCCAAACGGAAGGGAATTTTTTGTAGAAATTTAATGTTTAATGAATTTTTTCTCCTCATACTTTATTCTACTCCCCTAGTTTGACCAGTCGACGGTTGTACTAAACGCATAAAAATAGTTGGCTAAACAGAAAATCTATAGAACTAGCGTAGAAGTTTTGCATTTCACACAAACTCGTGATAATTTCTCACAGACAGGTATATTAGCTCTAGTGAACTTTCTTATATGATCACTAAATTCATTATCTTGTAGTTCTTGTGCTTCCCATAATGAAGCAAAGACGAAAATGGTGTAATTTAACCCATATTATATTCAAAAGTCATAAATTCTTACAAACTATCCTTATTTAAATTGCTTATCGTTTCTGTTAGGTGGGAAATCATCAGTCAATTTTCTGGAGGCTGTCAGCAATGAAATCTTAATGATATTTGTATGTTAAACTCAAAATAGATCACCATGAACTCAGCTAGTCTAATTATTGATAAATATTTTGAAAACAGAATTTAGTCAAGAAAATCTTTTCAATAAAGTCATGAAACAGAATGGCTGGTTTCAGTCTGAAAAATAAACTGATCAGTTACATTCAGGTTTGCGTACTAGGTTATAAATTACACTAACTTCTTCTCACACCCCCCACTTCACATATATTATATCCTTCTATTTACATATATTCTTATGTAATGCCTGTTGCTATCATAAAATAGAAATTGATACATATTATTATATTTTTCAGCTGTTCAAGAAGAGCGTCATCGCCAACCATCATCAAATCCAGTGCCTTCAGTTCCTAAGCCGCCAAAGAGTGAAAAGAAAGGTCCTGGGCGTCGTTCAGCATTTAGTAACAAATCTGCTGACTCAGTTGTTACTGATCAACATCCGAACATTAATCATGATTCACCACCTAGTATTTCTACGACCGTTACAGCTACTGACTGCGTACAATCTAATCAAGTTAAATCAGAAAGTTCAACTACCTGTATTCAATCTAATGATGTATTGCTATCCGACGAAACAGATCTACCCAATTTAACATTACGATGTTTACTTTCTGCTGAATTAAGCATGGATCCTAAATTGGCTGTATCAGAAAGAGGTGAAGCAATTTATGAAGATATACCTGGTGATGATGATACTGGTTTACATCCATTGACCATAATCTGTCAGTCTATAGAACAACAATTACCTCGAATAGTTAATTGGGCTCGTCAGTTACCAGTATTTTCATCTGCCTATCTTAGTTTTGATGATCAGTTCTGTTTAATAAAAGCTGGTAAGTACACTTTTATTTAACAAAACTCATAATTATACAATGATTATAGTGATTAAGTTAAGATATAGTTTATTAGTGAATGTAATTGACTTTTAACATTATTTCAGTTTCCTACTCTCTTCTAATAACTATGGACTTAATTAGTAGATCAAATTATCACTAGTTCATAAATTTATACTCAGATATTATATAAATTACATTTATTTAAAATTCATGATAAATAATGTGAGTAGTCATCTAATATTCTCAAATTTTGCAACAACAACAACAACAAAAAAATCTATTTCAAGATTGTTTATTTTATACACAACAAAGTCATTTTCAATTTCACTTGATTCACTATTTCTTTCTTCCAGTTAATATATATATTTTCACAGATTGAACTCATATATATATATATATATACTTGTATTTACTCATACAATTTTATTGTACTTGAGTTATTGTATTATGGTTAAGATATTAACCTATTTGAAATTTAATTAATTAGAAACCTTCAATCATTGTCAATTTGTTTCATTGAACAAATTATGATATTTTGCTATATGAAGAAACTAAATATTTAGACTCATTATAATGTTTTATTTTGATGATTATCAAATTATAATTGATTATTTTCGTTCTTTATTTGTTCTTTTTATTTTTTTTTAAAGCTTGGCCTGAATTAGTTCTAATCAGCTCAGCATATCATTCAACTGTTATTAGAGACGGTCTACTTTTATCAATTGGACGTCATCTTGGTAGAGAAGTGGCTAAATCACATGGTCTAGGCCCTCTTGTTGATAGAATTCTTCATGAACTTGTTGCACGTTTTCGTGATTTATCGTTACAAAGAACTGAATTAGCTTTACTACGTGCTATTATTCTTTTTAATCCTGGTGAGTTATCCAGTCAGTTCTTTTTACAGTAATTTATTAATAATCGTTTCCACCATACTGAATAGTAAATTAAAGAAATCAGATTGAAGCTATTGTTTTCTAGTGTGTTGTTATAATTCAGATGAATGGATGACTTAGTATTATGTCTATTCTTCTGCTATTAATAATCGTCTTGGAACATGTAATTTTCTCCAAAACACTTGTAGATTTTGATATACTTCAAGTAACAAACTATCGTTGTTGCTGTATCCTTATTTACATTTGTTGAATTTCCCTGGGAATTGTTTCCTTCGATGGTTCTTAACTTGTCCCTGATCATGATCTGTGTCCATAGATCCTTAAAAATATATCAGACCATGTTTTCTCACAAGAGCCATAAGAATAGTTTTTACCCAAAGAAATGACTGTTCATTCCTTTCCACTTTTTAATACAGCTACCGTGTTCCTTTCATCAAGTAGTTAAATCCTTTACCGTGTAAGGAAATTCATGTAAAGTTCTTGAACTAAAAAGACCACTCGTTTGTTATATTTATTCACTTTAAATCATCGAATCACTTTACATTTACCTATCAGTGTCTATTCCAGAAACTTGATCGAACGGTATATATTTATGATCGTCGGTGTTCTAAACATCCATATCTTTCACTCATTCAAACCCATTTACTTACTTTCGTGTCTAAGTAAGCTATGAAAATATTTAAATCTTTTGTTTCATTCATCCATCGTAAGTATGTTGTTTTTGAAACACTTGAAAAGTGATCGTATGTAGTGTCCACTTATTGTCTGGTTGTCGCGATTCATCCTTTTGAATTTTTCATGACAACAGTTATTTTTTGTAAACTTACAAGCAAAAGGATCAATAGTACCCGTCGACCGGATTTTAGATTTATTCATTGCCTACCTATTTTTGGTACTTTAATGTGAACTCCTACATCATCCAATTTTTTGTATATATATGTTGTTGGAAATCAAACATTGTAGATCTTATCAAGACTGCCAATTAATATTTTGGTTTTCTCTCGTTATTCTCTTAGATGCTAATGGCTTATCATCACGTCATCGCGTAGAAGCTGTCAGGGAGCAGCTTTATTCAGCTCTTCATTCGTATTGTACGACTAATCAACCCCAAGATACTTCCCGTTTCACAAAATTACTACTAAGATTACCTCCTTTACGATCCATCGCATACAAGTGCCTTGAACATTTGGTATTTGTCAAATTAGCAGCTGAAGACCCAACAAGTTGTCGTTTGATCAATCTTGTTGAACATGGTGTTTGGCCTATACAAGAGAAAAGTTTTGAACTTGCCACTTTACCATCCGACAGTGCATCTACAGACTCAGTACCAAGTCAAATTACTATGGTCCCTACTCCTCAGTACATTCAACATCAAGATGATAATTCACTACCAACCAGTAGTCATACTGATCTCTCCTACACACACACATTGCCAAATTTCCATACAGTTCAGAATTATCCGTTTTGAAAATACAACTATTAAAGACGAGGAGTCAACAGCTTGTAGGAATTTTCTTGAGCTCTCACAATGATATATATCAGATCTCATGTCATGCTTATCAACTACTGCCTCATCATCACTATACATGATTATTATTTTCTATTGAATGATTTTTCGATCAGTTGTTTTTTCTACTCTTTTCGTTCTCTTTTTGTAGTCAGTTTAGGAAATGAAATATTTCCAGTCTTTAAATTTATGTGTATGTATATTTTACAACTAAAAAGGTAGTTACGTAGATAAATGAGTGTTTCTCACTACTCACATAACAACTATGAACACCATTCATGGTTTTTTATTCTTCACCTGAAACCTGTTGCTCACTATAAGAAAAAAGTTTGCTTGCTTTTTTTTCTAATACTAAAGATTGTTAGTTCATGATTGTTGATTTTGTATAGTTCTCATAGGTTTGTATATATATATGTATATTTTTTTAAAGAGTTGTTTTAACGCAAGCTTTCTTCTTATTTTTAATCCGAACACCAGCCGTATGGGCGTATAATTGATAATATGTTTCTGGTTGATAACAATAGTAATTCACCAGGCACTCGGGTATGAACATCACTCGCAGTGTGATGGCTAATGACACTACCACGTTATCCAAACTGTAGTGAAGCGAGGAGAGAACCTTGGATTTAGTGGTTGAAAGTCCAACCTATTAATAACTTAATCAATGAGTTTCTATATATAGGATAGTATAGAAGCAAAAGTAATAAACTGTGACCCACGCATTTCATAAACTTTATTGTTGCTAAGTCTATATAATAAGATACAGTTACATAAAAAAATAAAGAAGTACGTGAAAAATCCTGGAGATCATTAATTACTCTGGAATTCAACCAAATGCAAAGACACTTATATGTTATTGCTTAAATCTAATTGATTACGTGAATTACTATAATACTGAAATACTAGAAAATATCAATTAAAGAGTTCATGTTGTTGAGGAGCTTCCAATTTATTTAAAGGAACAATTCTTGAGTTACTTTGTGTGTCTGAATGTACAATAGGTTCTAGATAATGGAACTTTGAGCCTCAGGATTATTCATGTAACGTCATCAACTTTACATTTGCAGTTGAGTGAGATGGGCTTTTGCTGGCTTCCCACTTTCATGTGGTCTTTAATTTTTCTATATCTATCAGTAGACTTTTGTAAATAGATGTTATGTCTCAACGTTTATCAATCCTTTCTCGAAATAATCGATCTTGTATTGTTTTTGATCTAAAGAGCAATTAATTTATAACTAACTATGATTTTAATGATCACAAATATCTAAAAAAAGTTGTTTTGTAAGTTTCAGCTGGTTAATGCAGTTAAACCTTTTGATCTGAAGTGTAGTTATGTTAGTTTTCTAAATCTATATCATTTGTAATTTGTCTCAAAATATCAATTCGCATATAAAACTATTCCATTTAAATATGGCATACTAGATCTTTTAAAAAGCAATAATTCCATTGGACGGTACTAATATGGTGAATATGAACGCAGTCTGGGACAACCAAACGTACTTCAGTACAAAATTACAGTTCTTTGGTAAAACGTGAAAACCACACATTCGATACTTCCTCTGCAAAAACTCCATCAACTGTTTTAACTTCTACTGTTCCTTCATTTGCATAAGGATTACTATCTGTTCCCGTTCTCATTGATCCGTCTTCCCAACTTTCTACTACCAGGCCTCCCATTTCTGATTGGTACTATATACTACTTATATCTGTCTACGTCAGTAGCACACACCACACTAACAATCCCAAATTTATACACTGTAGTCTTAAATGATGTATTTACCTTAAATATGCTCTCAGGAATATTAATTTGAATTTATAATTGCAGACCGTAATGATGATTTCTTATTTTTAAAAAATACTCTTCGTTCAGTTCATGTATTTTTGCCTGAATTTGAGAAAGCCTTCTGTCGTATTACGAATTATAAAATTTCGTTTATTTAATTTTACCCAGTCTACTTTATTACATAATTTGTTATAAAAAATCGAGCATCAGTCTTTTTATTCATTGTTCAATAGCAAAATAAAGCTTTCTTTTAAACGAAAATTTATACTACGAATGAATAAAAAAGATTGATCATTTGTAGTCTTCACTATCAATGGGAAGATCCAGACAACCGATATATGTTTTTACTAGCATAGCGGTTTGTGGAGATTGTTAAATTTTCTTATTTTACATCACAGACTTATTGTATTTAAAAAACCACTGCAAATCCGGGAGCAACGACACATGTTTTTTGCAAATATGGGACTCCTCATTAATGTACATACGCTATCACATCGAAGGTCGGGCCCTTCAGTGATAACGTAGTCTTCAGCCCATTAATCTAATGCTTAATGATGTACAAGTTCGAATCTAATCAATTCGCCACATAGTGCAGCCATCTATCATTACCACTGGCGAATGACTGTCCCATCTAGTTTTAACTAGTCTAAGATCAATTCGTAATACAAGTTACATCTTTTTCATAGCGTCATTACTTATTTATACCTGTTACCCTCGTGGAGGAGCATAGGCCGTCCACTAGCATTCTCCATCCAACTCCGTGCTGAACAATCCCTTGTCTTCCACTTTTCCTTTGCCTTTCAGGATTCGAAGTTAACACTCATTGTATGTTCTATCCACTTCCAGCATCTTTTCCTCATCATCTCGAAGCTGGTTTGTTCTCTCCCAACGGACATTCGGTATCTAACGTAGACAATTGTTTATAAATACTTGTACCTTTTTGATTATGGTTGTGGTATTTCTCCAAGTTCCAGCTCCATACAGTAGAAATGTCTTGACGTTCGTACTGAAGATTCTCACTTTGATATTGGTTGAAAGTTGTTTTGAGTTCCATATATTCCTCAATTGTAGGAATGCAACACTTGCTTTGCCAATTTTCGCCTTTACATCTGCATCTGATTCTCCTTGTTCATCGATGATGCATCCCAGGTACGTGAAGGTTTCTACATCTTCCAGAGTTTCTCCATCAAGTGTGAATGCTTTGGTGTTCTGTGTGTTGTATTTGGGGATCTTGCTTTTCCTCTTGTGCTTTTTCGTAGTCAATATAGTTGATGTAGAGTGGTGAATTCCATATATAATGACGGGTTTCATTAAGTTGATCGTTCAACGGTAGTCTGTGGTGTCGCGATTTGGTCTATGCACGACTGATTCTTACGTAATCCGGTCTGTTGATTTCGAAGTTGGGAGTCTACTGCGTGTTTCATCCGGTTCAGCAACACTTGCAAAACTTTCCTGGTACTCACAGTAGTGTGATGCATCTGTAGTTCTCGCATTTTCTCAGATCTCTATTCATGTGTATCTTGATGAGGTATCCTTCTTTCCAGTCCTTCGTTATTTGTTTTTCCTCCTCAATCTTCCTGAATAGAGTGTGAAGCATGTCTGCAGTTACTTCTGTGTCTGACTTTAGCGCTTCGGCTGGTAGATTGTCAGGCTCTGATGCCTCCTCACTCTTGATTTCTTCGACCATTGGTATTGTGACATCTGTAGGTGCTGCCTCGATATCTGGTAGATTTAGTGGAGCTGGTATATTAAAGTTCCTCGAAGCGTCCTATTCATCTGTCCCTCTTGAATCTCAGTAACTGGCTTGCCTTCTTTGTCCTTGACTGGTCTCTGGTTTACTATATTTCCCTGTCAGTTTCTTCGTTGTGTCTTATATCTATCTCATACTTCCTTCTCTTTTAGTTTTTCCCGCTGTCGTTGCCATCTCTTCCACATATTTCTTCTTGTCGGTCCTAATTCTCTCTACTTTCTTGTTAGTCTCAGTGTTCTCATCTTGTGCCTCGACTTTCTCTGTCTTTGTTTGGCTGTTGTTTATTGCTGTCTCCTTTTTTCCTCTTGAATTTTCTCCTGGGTTACGATAGAAATCCATTTCTGATGATGATGCTTCTTGCGGCCCATAACCTCCTGACAAGTTGAAGTTTGTGCTACTTTGATCTCTTCCCAGTTGTCCTCCATAGTATTTTCTTCTTTCAGTAGATACTTTAAGGCTTAGAACGTGTTGTTGAGAGCTATCTTGAATTGGTTGAGTTAGTCAGTGTATCGGAGGAAAGCTGCACTGAACATTTGTAATTCTGTTTTCCCAGTTGTCCACTGCTTCTTTAGCCTCAGTTTCATCTTGGCAAATACTAGGTGGTGATCTGAAGCTACGTCAGTTCCTCTCCTGGTTCTCATGTCGTTAATTGACCTTGTGAATTTTCTATTGATGCAAATATGATTGATCTGGTTCTCCGTGGTATGATCCGGTGAGACCCATATAGCTTTGTGCATGCAATTGTGTCGAAATATTGTGCCGCCTTTAACCATTTTGTTGAATGCAGATAAATTTGCAAATCTGTCACTATTTTCGTTCTTTTCTCCCAGTCCGTGTCGTACCCCATCGTATTTTCATACCCAGTGTTTTCCATTTCGACTTTGGCGTTTAGGTCTCCCCTCAGAATTGTCAGGTCCTTTCCTGAGCACTTTGCTATGATCGATTGTAGCCCCTCGTAAAACTGATCTTTATCGTCGTCATTGCTATCATTTGTGGGTGCATAACATTGGATAATATTCATTGTGATTCCCTCCCTCACTGTTTTGAATATCCTGGATCCATGAGATTCCCATCCCATAAGTGCTTTACTGCTTCTTTGGAAAGCATCAAAGCAACTCCCTGAATATGCGGAGCATTTTCCTGTTCGTAATCGAAGTACAATAACATCTCTCCCGTATCTAGCCTTTGTTGTTCAGATTGAGTCCATTGGGTTTCACTGATTTCGAGCACCGTCAAATTGTATCTCCTCATTTCTGTAGCTATTTGTTTGATCTTCCTGATCTCTCACATTTTCCGAACATTCCATGTAATATATTGATTATCGCTGTAGTTGTTAGAAATGGCATCGACCTCGCAACTTTCGAAGAATCTCGGCTTTCATTATGAGGCGTCATAATTCTTCCTTCATCTCGGAGGACAGAGTTTAAATTGTTTAAGCACGTTAGTGTTTTTTAGTAAGAATGTTTTGAACGGGATAGGATTGCCTACCCAACGCCCAACCCTCTTCATTACCCAGGCTTGTGACCGGCAGCAACTCTAGAAGAGCTACAGGCAGAGTTATGCATGGATTTACTGAGAAGAAGGTTACTTTCATTGTAGAGGCTGTTACTTTGTCAAGCCCACATAGGTTATTCTAGCCTCTGGACAGATTTTTACCCTGTCACTCAATAATCCTGACTGTTTTTTATATGACCGTATGTGTGTGCCATTCTTATCTTACGACGCCTATACCTTATTTTTGTCTGACTATAAATATTGAGTAACGCTTAATTGAGTTAAATTGACTAACATACCTTCTCCACAGCACGTCATTTCGTTTTGCTTCACTTTCCAATCAATGATTGTACGAAATATATGTTCTCAAAATCCATTCTCGTATTTGACTTATTTAATTCCGCTATTCACCAACGCGATTTTAGTCGATAATTACATTTCAATAACAAAACAGAAACGATCTAACTAGAGTCAGATCGCGGGTCACTAAAAACTGTTCAATTCTAAAGATCAACCAATCGCTTAACAAAGATCAATAAATAATCACCAATGAGCTTTCGTTTTTCAGAGATATGTTGATGCAATGAACTGTTTACTGTGTCTATTCGATCCATTACATTCGTCTGTAAATAAGGATTACTATTCAAGGAGCAACCCATTTCATATGACAGAGAGAAATCTATAGTTCAAAATTCCAGATTCTATTTGCTGTTAAGCTATGTATTTCATTAATATATCAGAAATACTATTTCAAACAAAATGTACTTGATTAGTTTCTTAAAAATGGGTATTTAACCAGAATACACTGCAGACATATGGAGAAAATTAACTTTTAGTAATAAATTTATTTCAAAATTTTGTCAGTTCGGTGAATTTTTATAGTTTCCTTTTTAAAATCAAAGAAATCATCCATATTGAACCGCTTTTTGGAATTATAAAACCAATATAATTCTTTAGTTTGCATAGCTCATGTAAACGGATGGCGTAATCTCAATAGCATCACTCAGTCAGTCATCAACAACGTAGAACTTCGTACGTACGTACATTAGTTCGAGTTGCCATACCACATTAGCACACAGATACAGTGGTCGATTCAAATCCCGTAGTGCTATATGTCGTAAAATTATAAGCTGTAATCAGAAAGATTAGTGTTTGAAGATGTCATTTAAAGAGTATAATCCCGTGAAATAAATATGGGAAGAGAAAAAAGGGACACGAATAATTCAGAAGATCGGGATTTGAGAGAACACAAAGAGTTAATGCACCTCAGCCATTCCAAACGAACTTGAGCCATGTCATTCAAGGCCTCTAACCATCGGTTGCTATCGTCTCGCATATCCCAACCAGGTAGTCTACACCGACCAGCATGGCTCATTCCACTTGCCAGTGACTTCATGGATTTGTGCCATGTTTTTGTGTGGCCGCACCTAGCTTTCTCCCAACTTACTCCAACACCATAAAACGTCTCACGAGGGAGCAGTCGGTGGTTGGGCATACGTAACACATATACCAGCCGTCTCAACTGATGAAGTTTCACTACGTCATCAATCGATTTGCCATTCCTTACCTAGTACCAGTTTCCTAACAACTACGTTACTTACTCGATGGTCCCAGGATATACGAGCAATGCTTCGAAGACACGTGTGATCAAGTACTAGTAGCCTACGAATATCCTCTACTCTTACCAGCCATGTTTCACTGCCATAAAGTATGACGGAACGAACTGCTGCGCAGTAAACCCGTCCTTTGGTTGATTGACGGATATCTCGCCTACGCCATACATGACGCAAGTTGGCAAAAGCTAGTCGAGCCTTCTGTATCCGTGCTGAGATTTCGCCACACACCAGACCATAAGTGCTGACGAGACTCCAAGATAAGTGAAGCGGTCGACACGCTCAATTACTTCACTCCCTATTATTAGTTCGGGTGTCGATGCAACCCAATCCTGAAGCAACATTCTGCATTTCGAGGGGGAGAATCGCATCCCGAACATGCTTGCATTGTTGCTTAGAGTGATCAGAAGACTCTTATTTTGTCAGCGTCTTCACCAAATAAAACTATGTCATCAGCATATTCTAGGTCAACAAGTGAACCTCCCGGTAGAAGCTCAACCCCTGGAAATTTAGATGAGGAGAGTGTTATCTCTAAAAGTACGTCAATGACAAAGTTGAACAAGAATGGGGAGAGTGGACAGCCCTGACGAACATCACTCGAGGTAATCAATTCTGATGACAGTTCGCCATAAGCTCTCACTCTACCAGTTGTGTTCGAGTAGAGAGCCTTTACAAGGTTAATGTACTTCTTTGGTACTCCTTTCAGTGACAAACACTGCCATAGAACCTCACGATCAAGAGAGTCGAATGCCGCCTTAAGGTCGAGAAATACTACCATTGTGGGGCGTCTGAATGTGTGTCTGTGTTCTAGAACCTGACGTAGTGTGAATATGTGGTCTATACAACCATGTCCAGGTCGAAAACCAGCCTGATTTTCTCTTGTCTGCTCTTCACGAGCTTTAGTTAGTCGTCAAATTATTATTGAAGCTAATATTTCAGACACTATATTAGTCAAACTGATTCCTCTGTGATTGCCACAAGAGGACTTTTGTCCTTTATTATAGACTGGCACAATCAGTGATTGAGACCAGTCAGATGGGATTACGTCCAGTTCCAAAATTCTACCTAAGACCTTAGTTAATCTCACTGTTAATACTGAACCACCAATCTTAAAAATCTCAGGAGTAAACCTGTCAGGGCCTGCTGCTCTCCCTCGCTTCGAATTTCCTATGGCTTTTTCAACTTCGTAAAGGGACGGAGGACCTACATTAGCTTGCCATTCAGGTTGACTGGAGATCGTGAGAAACTAAAGTGTGACTGAAGGCCAGTTGAACTGATCCCTAAAGTGTTCTGCCCATCGATCCAATCTCCCGGATTGAGGATGTATAATATGTCCATCTTTCTCTGAGAGTGTTTCGCTAACATTCGGTTTCGTAATACCGGTTTCCTTAACAAGTCTGAACAATTGTCTGCTATTACCTATTGCTGTTGTCTTTTCCATCTCTCTTGCTTTCGCTACCCACCACTGTTCATGATCATTGCATAGACTTCTTGTCAGCTTGCGCTTAAGTTGACTCCACCCTTCATTATGTTCAGAGCCAGGTGGAATGAGTTTTCGAGCATCTATCAGTGCGATAGATGCTGCTGAGATCCAGTGTTGCTCCCTAACCTTGTGGTTTACCTTACTAGCCGATATCACTGCTTTTTCCACAGCTTTTCGGATATCATTCCATGCTGCATCGCGGTGGACATCACATACATGGCTGCCTAACTGTTTTTCTAGCTGTTCCTCAAATATACTCCTAGCTTGACTATCATTAAGTAGACCCCTAAGAGGTTTACTTGCAGCGGCTTTCCTACGTCCAGTAAGACGCAGACAGATACGCGCTCGTACTAGAGCATGATCTGAATCTAAGCATGTGCTCCAGAATGAGCGACAGTCTTCTATCGAGCCCCTCCACCGGTGGGTGATAGCAATGTGATCTATTTGGGTCCAACGCTGGGACGGATTAGGGGGTCGCCATGTTAAAAGATGTGTTTTCCTTATGCTTAAAGTTAGTATTTGCAAGGAACAGGCGGTTATCTGAGCATAGCTGCAACAGACGGTCGCCATTATCTGTTCTTTGAGCCACGATGCTATAAGATCCACCCAGGTGTCTTTCCCTATCGTTTATTTTACCTACTTGAGCATTAAAGTCATCTTTTACATCATCTGAGCTGCAGTCAGTAGGATAATAAGCAGAGAAGACGAGGAGGCAACGACGAGTTTCCCTGTTTTCCCGAGTCCTTACTGTTCCGTTTAGTCGGATAGAGCACAAACGAGTCTACTGGGACCCAGTCTAAGAGAGCCAGTTCTGCCCTAGGACTCAATGCTATGCCTACGCCGGCGAGGCCACGGGAAGCAGAATCAGGGCTTCCAGATACACGAAGTGTGAATCGAATCGGTTCTTAATTTTGGCATGGTGAGGTCAAATGAATAATGCTACTCGGATCCTGTATGCGCGTTTCGGAGACGCAGCACACATCGATGGCGCGAGAATCTAACGTCCTAGCTAAGAAAGCCTGCTGTCCTATTTGACACAGTGTTCGGACGTTAAAAGCTCCTACGTGTAGTTCAGAGCGTTTTCAGAAGACCAGGAATAACATTCCGCGTACTCGAATCGTTTGCCCTAGCGGTGCGAGGTGATAAAGAGGAGTGAGGAGGGTTAGTCATGGAGAGAAGAGAGGTATTAGGAGGTGTAGGAAGGATTTGAATGTGACCAACTTGGTCTCGTGTGCTGTTATGGGTATAAAGGCTGATGTCACTTCCCGGCTACCCATACCGTGGAAGGGTATTTCTTGAAGAACCTGAAAAGTAAATAGGATTAGTGTTGGTCTTAATGACCTGGGAGCGTGACTGCAGAGTCTAAAGGATAACTGCTTGAGGCCGGTCGCGCACGGCCATTTCGTGGGTTTTTCAACTTGTCAGCTCCGTTCCTCAAAGGGCTTTACCGCCGGAGACTGAAATTCATGAGATAAGGTCAGGCGTGATATTTTAGGGTGGATCTTTTCTAACCATTTCCTTCCTTGTGAGAAGGCAGCATCGCATCAGATGCTGGTTGTCAGAGGGAAACTCGTTACTGCTGTCACAACACTCTACAGTCAGCAGTACGACTTCGCCCTCAGACCTTGAGTTGCTTTTAGTCTTACCGTTCTCCAATCAAACTGCCTGGCATGGAAGAACCTACAGGACCATGTCTTCCAGCCAATATAGCTCGGTTGGGCAAGTCCGACCACCACGTCAATGTAGCAGCTACGATTGGGAATGAAACGAGATATTGTATAATTATGAAAAACTTTTAAGAAACTTAATCTGTTAGTCAAAAAAAAGGAAAATCGTCATCTTTAATATATTAAAAACGAATATATATCATTTCATTTGAACAAATGAAAAACACTTGAGAGAAATTTATCTGTTAGTAATAGAAATGTAATGAGAGGTAGTAAGATTGATCGGACACTTAAGAGTGTACAAAATAGTCGAACAGAAAACAAATAAAAAGGTTAATAAAGTAAATAAAAATCCTAATAATTACATTGTTCTTAGATTAGATCATTCAAATTTTTCTGACATTCATACATGCGTACATATACATTTTTAAAAACCAGTTTTTTTATTTCGAAAAGAATTACATAATATTATATTAATTTTTGTTTGGGCATAATGAAGACCAATCGACTTCAGGCATTATACACCAATTTGGAGAAGTTTTTGTAAGTCGTCTATTAGGACAACTAAAATCATCAACTTCATGCCATAAATTACTATTAATTGATAGACCAGCTGTAGATAAATCTTGTTCAAGTGATTTGTAAACAAGTTGATATGGAGCTACTTTTAAATTTGTACATTGTTCAATGATAGGTCGACTAGCCATATGTAATCCAAGTCGACAATTGGATGTTTGATGTATTCTTAATTGACGACAAGCAAATACTAAATCACAATTAATACATTCATCAAGCCATACTGAACCTGAAATAGGATAGGCATAAATTTTACAATTTTTTAAACGACGACCAATTAAACTACCAAATACATGACATATTTCAATTGTACAATCTATTAAATCAATCAAGTAAACAGTTTGTGAAATAAATGAATCCGATGAACAATTGATATTTGGTATAATAAAATGTTTAGGGCCAGTAATATTGATTAAACTGAAACGCTCATCATAAATTATTGAGTCATTATTTTTTGGGGCGACAATAGATGACGATTTACAAATTGAAGATTCTGGATGAGATTCATTTTTATTTTCATTTTCCTGTTTCTTAGTTGTCTGTTGACGTGAAAAACCAAATTTCTTACTAGGTAACAATTCTGTTTTTTTCTCTTGAAATAGATCATTTAAGCTCTAAATAAGTAAAAAAACAAGAGATTAATACACATGAACATGTTCGAAGCTGTTAAACTAAAGCAATTATTACTATAGGATGCTGTGGAGAGTTGTTAAATGTGAATTTTCACATCATAGACTGACTTTGTTTGGACAACTGCTGAAAATAAGGAAACACGAGATGGAAACTATGGCGACAGATGACGATCGAGCAAGATCACTAATTAACTAGGGTTAGGAATCCAAACGACCATATTCTAACTCAATAGTTTGGATGCGACACGCTCACTGAGGGCCCATATTACGATCCCGGATAGTATCCCAGCCCTCACACAAATCGAATGAACTATGTGGCACGTATCTGTTTGGTGCATCCTCGTACCAATTTTTGTGTTCAAATAAATAAATAAATAATGGTTGCCTAAAGCCAAAAAATGGTGGAGCAGTATTCCAGTATATGATCGGGTGGTTGAAATATAAGTGCTATTACTACTAAGTTACTGTTACAACTTTCAAATGGAACAGCATAAACATATAGTCAAAAACTAACCTTTAACTCTAAACGTGCTTGTTCATTATCGAATGAAGTAAGATACATTGACGCTTCATTCAACCAATTCTGCATATGTTCTAAACGAGCTAAAATGTCATCCACAAACTAAAGGGTAGGAAAGTGAAATATAAACGATTAGACATTGCACATATAACGTTAGTCACAGTGAATAATGTGAATCGTTAGTCGTACGCTACGAAGAACTTAGCACATATGTATATCATTCAACTTGCCATAATACAGCACAGTGAAATGTAAGATGTAGAAACAGTATTTATAGTAGTAGAAAAGATTAGGAAGAAAAGAGATGATTAAGCAAATGAAAGCGATTCTGATCCATGTAACCCAAATTCTCTGACCAAATAGTCCTGATAATCGCATGGACTCCAATGCTTTAGACCTATGAACACGGCTCAATTCAGCAGAAAATGGCTTCAATGGCTTATGTCATAATACTGGATTGACCACCCTTACCTGTATCCCAACTTACTTCTACACCAGCTACCATCGTGCGTCAAGGTAGGCTGTCGTTAGCCATACATAACAAATATTGCGACAACCTCAGTTGATGAAGATTCACTACCTCGTCAATCGAATTGCCATGCTTATCTAGTATTCTACATCTGACATTTGCACTTCACGGTCAGTGATCCTAACATACACGAGCAACGATTCCAAGACATACATAGTCAGATACAAGCAACCTACGAATGTTCACAATTTGTAAATGCCACATAGGACTATCACAAATAAAAAAGAGAGAACTGTTTAGCAGTATACTCGCCCTTTGACTATCAGACGAATATATCGCCGGCGATACATAGGACATGTGTCAGCAAAAGTGAAACGAAATTTCATTAAACACCAACTTGAATGGATCGCTCGAAGTGATCAGCATCTTCATTGAATAGAACTGTCATCTACATCGAAATCAACACACGAGAATATGATAGTAGGAGATTAATGCCTGAAAATTCATAAGAGGGCATTATCTTCAAAAGAAGGTCCCTGAAAAAAAACCGAATAAAAATGGAGAAAGGGGATAAACCTGACGAACACCATTCGATTTTATCAATTCGGATGACAGTTCCCTATAAGCTGTGACTTAACCGGCGGTGTTCAAGTATTCACTGATTGGGTCCCCATATATTTATGAATGACTTCCTACATCCAAAGCAACATATCCGAGGATACCGTAGTGAACGAACATTCAGGTGGGGAAAACCAATTTATTATTTAATGCAAAATAACAGAGCTTTCGTATAATATGAAAACCATACATCAAATATGTAATTTGCATATCTTCCTTCAGCTGTCCTTTATATGCTTCATGATTCTTTCAACTCTTATTATTACATTGACTTTCTGTTTTCGTCAGTTGAATTTATCCAATTTTCTTCAGACATACGTTCCACTTCCGATTAACGCTACTACTGTCAACATAAGTAGCATAAACCACGATACTATTGATAAGAGAGTGAATCTAATACGATTGAATAAATCGAATAACTAACAAACGACAGTTTGCTGACACAATTATATCCCTATACATAAAGAGAATACTGGGTAGCTTTTATGTCTTACTTGGTCATTTGAGTATGAGTACCAGTAGGAAGAGACATTAATTACTCGGAGAATTTCATAACCTGTATTACACGCTAACATGTTTCCAAGATAACAATCTACAATAACATTTCTGATATTTGGTGACAAATTTCAGCGAATATATTACAGTAGACTGTTGTATTCTACAACAGTATGGATAAGAAAATATTGAATTTAACAGATAAGATTTTTTTAAAAATGATTTTGTATTTAACACCACCCAATTAATAAAACAACACTTTTAACTACAGATAGTACATGATATAAATGAATACTAACCTGAGTACGTTCATTTATTGGTAAATTATATCCTTGTATTTTTTTGGTCATATCTTCTAAATCTGTAACAATAGCTAATTTGTATTGAGTGAAATGTTGTAAAAAATTTTCATGAATATTTCCATTACCAAATGAATCAGCATTTTTTCGTTGACTATTAACAATTTGACTCTGTGTATGACGTTCATTTAAACGATTTAATACAGTTTGACGATTATTACTGACATTTAATGGAAAACTTCTATTTTCTGAAGATTTCTGATTAGAATTCATTATTCACAGTGTATTATGTTCCAAAATGTGAGGTATTTCTTCTAAAACAATGAGTAATACATAATATATCGATGCACTAGCGAACATCATTTTCAATTCTACTCTATGCCACTTAAAACGATAACAGAATAAAAAGACAGCTTAGTAACAAGGGACCAATTCACACATTTGACTTCGGGTCAAACAACTTGTGTGTTTCGCTGATATTAATCAATGTAGTCAAACTCGAATAAGTGGAACGTCTCTTGAAATTACGGTTAATGTTAAGTCAAGCGGCTTAACTATTAAGTTACCATCTATTGGATAAAATCGATAGTTCAATATACTTTTGTACAATTTCTAATTTGTGCACTTTCAATAAGGTTTCAGTTTTAAACAGTGAGCTCTATACATGTAGTCGATACGAAACTCTTTTCGTTAAGTCATGATCCTTTTAAATGCACACAAACATTCGTAATACATTGATCTTTTTGGGTATACTACTTCATAATTCTTTTTCAAAGTTAATATGGACTGAGAATACACAGATAGATGATTAGGGTTGTATATTGTTCTGCAATAAAAGTACGGCCACATAACAGAGAAGTATTGTTAAAAAATTAACCAGAAGAAAGCATTTTAAAAGTAAATATAAATGGAAACTCGAATTTAAAAAATTAATAACGTTCATTCTATTGTACCTACTCTGAAAAGATAACTAACTGCCAACGGCTATGCACCAATATCTAGAACACAGAGGTCACTGAATGTCGGTCAAACACAAATAGCGTAAGATAAATATGCATTAACCCTCAAGTTGTTTTAACATAAAAGAGTATGTATAAGTGGAATATATAAGATGAAACAAAGGAGCAGGAATAACACTAATGGTAACGAAAAACTAAAAGGTAAACGGAATAAACAAGACCCGAGAATGACTATTATGAAATGATATTAAAGATTTATGGCAAAATGGAAGATGAATGCATCCCTGGCAGTGAAGATTAATTTGGTTCCCAATAATGATTAATAAATATTTGGCGAACTCAAACAACGAAATCTGCACTTGGCAATAACACTCAGATCAAGTGAGACAGACTTCATGGACTAATATCAAGTCTTGGTATGATTAATCTGCTCAAACGTTTGGACTATCCATTTTCCAACTAAGCAAATATTGCAATAAACCCTTGTTTTGGATTTATTTAAATAAAATAATTACGAATCGCATCAGTGTACTTTTGCGGTACTATGAATAACTTACAACCTATCACGATGCTAAATGCTGAATATCTTAAACTGAAACACTGCATTTGTCAGTATATTCCCCTCTTTTTCTACCCTGTTAAAAAAATCGAGAGATTAATATATATTGGGATTCATGAACTTCATACCTAATGGGTGAGGAAAATAGATGTAGCACCAGAAAACTGATAGTAAACTTTCAGCATTGATGAATGGAAGGTAACTACTGGGAAGCACATATAAAATATTTTTTCTGAATAATTACAATTAGATATGTGTTGAGGGGAAATTTATTGCAATATTGCATAGTTGATGTTGAGAATCCCTCACTTTGACCTAATTCATAGTAGTGAATGAAACTATCATTATGATCGTTATCGGAGAAACAATAAAAAATAGAATAACAAGTAGAACCATGTTAACTGTGGATTCTAAGCAGATGAGCAAACCTCCTTGTAGATTAATTCCTGAAAAATTAGATGAACAGCTTGTGCTTCCCATGACAAAACCAAATAAAACAGGAACAGCGGACGACACCGATGAACACCACTAAAAGTTCACAATTTCGACCGAGGCTTGCTATAATCTGTGATTAGACCAATAGCGGTCGAGTAGAGCCGTCACAAGGTATATGTGCTTTTTTGGTAGGCATCTGGACGATAAAAACTACCACAGAACCACTCAATCAAAAGGTTCGAATACTGCATTAAGGTTTAGCAACAAAACTATATTCGAGTGTGGCTAAATGTCCGTACATTCTAAGAGCGAACATTGGTTTTACATATACACATCCAGGTCTAGAACGAGCCTAGTTTTCCTTAGTTTGTTGTTCACAAGCTCTAGTAAAGCTCTGGATGATTATTGAGGATAGTATTAAAAGCACTATGCTAGCCAAACTAATTTACCTACAGCAACAGTGTAAATCAGATAACTCAAACCTTAGCAAGCGACACCGAAAACAAATCGTTTTCACGAACTAGTTTACAAGTATCGCTTTCATAAAAATGGCAATGTCCATAACTTCGGCATTTGAGCATGCCAATAGTGTACCCATTCAAATAGAGAAAAGGAATTACAAAATTTAGAAGAATTCCCAAACTTCTGACGACCTTTGAGGAAACAAAAACACTACAGCATCTGGTAAATTGTGCGCAGGAAAAATGTTCACTACATTATCATTAGTGGTGACACAGGATATTTTATTTATATTAACATGCATTTATAAAACTGTTTAAAATGTTTAGGGTTTTGCTAAAATTGACAGATTGAAGACACATTTTACATAACAGTCGCTGATTTTGTTTTTTATTGAGTACTGGCTAAGGTTTATAAATTAAGGAAACTGACGGGAGTAAAAGAATCCATTCCTAATTTCCTTCAAGAGTCCAAAACAAATGAGGAAATCCGTAAGGCCGCTAATTAACATGTAAATTAGGGAATTTTGTCCTAACAAATATATTTGGACATTGATAAAATTCTTGATACAGCTGTTTTATGAATAAATGTCTATCTACAATACTATAAATACCATTGTATATTGTTATCCTCTTTCCTCGATTAAAAACCGTTACAAAACCATTTCATACTTTAGTGCGAGTTATAACCCGTAACCCAAAAGTTGAACATCAAGTGCTTCGGAATCCTTAACCACTTGTGGATGTACAAGCTGGTTATTACACTACCGTGGTTCGTGTGTGTACAGTTTTGGATGCACTATATCAAACTTCACATTCATGTGTCACATAAGTCGGCTAGCTAGTTTGATTTCATAAAAAAGGATATGACTTAGAGAGATGATAAAAAAGCCCATTTTATCATTTGATAGGTCCTACTATTACAATCATTTGACTAGTGACACATTTTGATCACAATGATAACGATGGTGGGTAGGGATCTTAGGAACATTCATTTATATGAATTAAATTTCATTCAAATGAATCAACTTAGACACTGAAATCACTCAAAAGAAATCTGTGGCTTGAAGCTACTAAGATGTTAGATTAAAAGATATCAACCTACAAAATGTTACAAGCTGCTTTTTGTCTCAAAGAATAACATGAATCGGTCGATTCTATCATTTAGAAAGCCTGTGAGATAGAACAAACTGGTGATTTAATAGTTCTCCGAAAAGGGTTTTTGTGGATATTATAGTAATTTAGTATTTGAGTTCAGCAGTGCGCATCCACGATCCCATCCCGTGAGACTCGAACCCAGGACCTGTCGGTCTCGTACGCAAACGCTTAACATTTAGACAACTGAGCCGACAACTTGTTGTGAATTTTGAAGTAACAACCATCTCTGTCCCATTAATCATATCATGAAGAGCTTCGATTCTAAGTGGTGACAATTTGAACCGATAGCTCCTGTATAACATTACTGTTTATTTCAGTTGATTAGACCATATGGGGCTTCAAACTCAAACACTAGTGTTTTCTTTTATAATATAAAGAGCCAAAGGTCCAATAATCAAGATGTTTTATGCTAACTTATCAAGAAGTGCATAGAATCACGAAGAAACAATATCCTCCTCACGAGAAATTACTCTCTTCGTTATAACGAAATTGATGTCTAGGTTAGTACCACACGATCCCTATCTGTGAAAAGAAAACGCTAAATCAAGCCAATACAAAACCCGGAACTACAAAAGTATCTACTAGTATAACATGTAATTTAAGGATTGTAAGCACATCATGAAAAAACCAACAGGACAGCTGGCAAACAATCGAGAACAAAAAGGAAATTACGTAATAACATTACTCTATATTACTTCAACGTGTTTGCGAAATACAGGCTTACAAAAAATAAAGTAGTAAAATGTTTACTAGGGTGGAGACATTAATACGTACATACATACAATAAATACATTGTATTCCTTATTAGGAAAACAAGATGTGGGAACACAATTTCTTTTCTTTTTTTTAAAAAAAGCTATGACAATGATCATGTATGTGGATGATGGATGGTGAGAGAAATAAAAACAGGAAATAATTTCGCTGAAGAGTTTAGAGTAATTGAGAACACTGAAAATTATTCAGTTCCAGTGGAGTTCTGTCTAGTTTGTTTCTTTTTCTTTAATCACATTATCAGATGGATGAGATTCACCAACAGAGGATAACTTACGTTTTTGAGTCAGAGGTTGACAACGTACTGGGCTACTGTGTGATGATAGATGACTACTGGATCGTTTAGATGATAATAAAGGAGATGTGTTTTGTTTTTTTGCACGATTTGGAGATTCTGTATACATAGAATGATGCTGGTCTTCCTCCATTAATTGAGGTTCATCTCCTAAAGCGAATGTCTCGCTACCATCCGATAGTTCACCAGCTTCTAATTCTTGACGATGAGAATTATGGAAGTTTTTGCTTGTAAAAGTATTCGATGAACGCGGTGAAGTGTAACTGGGACCACGATGTTGATTTGTAGAAATCGTAGAACTGTTAAACTTAGCTTCGCTGGAAATATCATTTAATGAAGACCATCGCTCATCGCTTTTTCCATGTTCATCCCTATCATAATTCTTCTTGTCAGAATCCTCAGTTTTGTTTACTTTATTATCCGACGGATCACTATTAATTGAAGCCATACGACGCCGCGCTTGTATATTTTCTTCAAATTCTGTTTCGAGCTTTTTCCGACGCCGAGCAATGAGAGCTGGAAAAGTAGGCATCCAAAAAAAATAAACAAAAGTGAAACACCAACCTTGTAAGGGTTAACAATTGTGGATTACAAGAGTTAGTTACCAGTCAGTTGACACTAACGCATAGCCTGGCACA